CCCCCCCCCCTGTGCGGCTGCCCCACGCGTGACCACCACAGAGCAGGCCTGGAAAGGCCCAGCGGGCACCTGTGTGGGGAGCCCCTGCCTAGCCTGCCCAGATTGTCGGCCTCAGTGAAGGCGAGTGCCCACTGTGACGGTGCTTCCATGGGAGGGCACGCCTGCTGCGGGCCTGCCCAGAAGCTGCGTCAGCAGCAGAGCCCTGCGGGGCACCTGTCAGAGGGAGCCCAGGACTGGGAGGGACAGGGAGTTTAAGGCACGCAGCAAGCAGGACGGGACGGTGCCGCCACTCAGCTGACTCACCCAGGAGCCCAGCTCTGGTCCCCGCTCAGGAAGGGATGTGCTTCCCCGATGGCCTGGGGCACCCCTGCAGCTTCAGAGGCCACAGGATGGCAGATGCTGCTGCTGTTCTGGGTCCAGCAACACCAGAGCACAGCAGGCCCGTTCTGAGCCGGCCCGGTGCTGGGGCCACTCTAGGCTTGCCCAAATGCCACCGTCGTACCTCTTGGGCCAGGGGAAAAGCCCATGCCGCCTCCATCTTTACAAAGCAGGGAGGCACGCACAGGAGCTCCCGCCCCTCTGCTTTCTGCACGCCCACTGCACTCCCTCACTCGGGATGCCCAGGGCAGCCACCCAGGGGGCCCATCCAGCAGACTCAGGGGCCCCGGAGCTCAGGAAAGGGGAGGAGCCGCCAGTCACTGGTCTGCAAGGACATCTGTGCTGCCCCCCGGCTGGAGGGTGGGCGGGGATGCGGGGGAGAGAAGTGAAAGCGGAACATCAAACCAAACCAGAACACCACCGGGCATGAGGCGGTACCGAGACCCGCCTGCTGCCCCTCTGTGGCCGCGGGTCTGCTCCCCGGGAGTGAGGCAGAGGCTGCCGCGGGCTGTGGGCTCCCGCCTGGCGCAGCCAAGGCCTGGCTGGGTCTGTGGCCCTGAGGCCAGGACCCCTGTAGCCCACCCAACAGGTCCAAGGTCCTCCTGGGTCTCAGAGCTGCCTCCGCCTCTCGAGCGTCCTCCGCGCTCACGTGCCGTCCTAGGTCTTCTCCTCCCGGTCTGTTTTCCTCCTCGTTATGTTCCTGGGCTTGATTTTCAGAGAGAGTTCCCATAGGGCCTCCTCGGCCAGGTGGTCACTGAAGTCGTTGAAGAAGTTGATGATGTCGTCGTTTCTCCGGATGTCGTAGTGCCTGGCGGGGGAGAGAGGCAGGCAGTGAGGGCTGGCAGATTGACAACTCCTTGCAGCAGCTGAGGAAGCAGGCCCATCTGCCCGCTCGCCCCGGGGGTACACTCTCCTGCCCACCTCCCTGGGCTGCACTCCCCACCTCGGGCCACCCTAAGGGGTCTGCACCCCAGCCTGCCCCTGCTGCCCCGGAGTCAGGCAGGCTGGGACTCACGGCCACTCCTCGCTGGTACATAGACAGGGAGGTAAGCCAGTCTCTGCACCTGGGCTCAGGCCGAGGGCAGCCACAGAGCTGGGCCCATGGCGCCCCTTTCCATGTCACCCTGACCGGGACCGCAGGGGCAGTGACACACGGAGGACCCCCGTGCCCTGTACTCACGCCTGCTGGAAGCAGCGCATGCTGTCCAGGATGTTGAACTGCTGCCACCGTTTGGAGAAGTTCACCTTCCCGTCGATGTGGTCTGGGTTCCCCAGGTGGACGAAGGTCAGGTCCTGCAGGATCAGCCCCCTGGGAGGAGGGGCGAGACACCCAGTGGCGGCTCTGGGAGCGGCTCAGACATGGCTGGCCACGCCCGAGGGCATGCCAGACCCAGAGCAAACCGGGGACAAGTCTGGGGACTGTTTCTTCCAGCGAGAGTTCTGCCTCACACACTGCGCCTGGGGCCACCTGCTGGGTCCCTTGGAAACCAGCCTGGGACACCACCCGCCCAGGTCTGCAGTGACCTGGGGTGGCCACAGCATGTGCAGGTGGAGCTGGGGGTTGGTAGTGGAAAATTCATAAATGAACAGTAAAAAATGTCAAAATCCTAAACGGGGGGCAGGGGTTTGCTAACGTGAGACCTGACGGTGGGGCAGCTCTCCCCCCAGGGCGAGCTCAGCCACAGCCCTCGGGGGTCCCTGGTGCAAAGTGTAGCAGCATTGGGAGCGGGGCAAGGCTGGCAGAGGGCGAGGGCGAGGGCAGCCCCACCCCAGGGACGTTCCTTTGAATACCCCACCCTGGTACTGAGCCTCCTGTCCCCCTTTGGAGAGTGCCACTGTCCACGAGGACATTAAGGGCTCTGATAAGTCCTGTTTGGCTTCGATTTTCCCACTATTTCCCTTTTCCATGAAACGCATCTGTTCTCCACCTCGCAGCCCACACTTGGGAAATGCTTTCTGAACTTTTTCATATGAGCCCCGGGCAGGCTGCGGAGTGTCGGGTGTTACTGGACACAGCGCGAGGCCCGTGTGGGAGAGGCTGCACATTTGTAACAGCTGTGCACCTGCACACGCCGCTCACTGCGGGTCAGAGAGGGACGGGGCGGGGCTGAGGACGGGGAAGGAGAGGGTCTGTTCTCTGCTTGATTCCTTCCTTGTCTCAATCATATTACAGGTGAGTATGTATATAAAACTTTTGCCAGAGGGGCCAGCAGGTGGTGTGGTGGTTAAGTGCTGGACTCCCACGGGGCTGACTATGGTCTGAGTCCTGGACGTGGAGGCTTGAAAATCATGCTGGGTGTACATATGTGAGTGCCCAGAATCCTAGGAGAAGGGAGGAGGGACTGGCTCCTCACTCTCCCTTTCACTGTCTCTCTGGCCCTGTGTGCCCCACGGCCCCATTGCATTCCCTTCCTCTCCACTCTCTCCACCCTGTTAAGATTTCGGGCATGCACGCCTGCCTGGGGTTTCTCAAGCAGCCAGGTCTGGGACTTGAACTGCCAGGTCAGCCAGGTCTGATCCGGCTGCCATAACCACCAGGCCATGGAGCAGGCTCATGCATCTTACCTTTAGGAAGAAAAGGGAAACGGAAGTGCAGGTGTCATGGCTGAGACCCCTTAGGTGAGAGTTTCTCAGAGGAGCCCATTTCCTCTCCCCTGGAACAACTGAGGGCAGCCGGGGTGGGCGGGGTGGCACGGGGCGGGGCAAGGCCAGCAGAGGCCGCTACTCACAAGTAGGGAATGCACGGGGGCTCCACCTCTGAGAGGGCTGCCCGGTAGGCTCGGAAGGAGGACGAGCTGTCGATCAGCGTGCAGTACTCGGCCAGGCCCTGGGCAGGAGAGGAGGGAGAGTGGGATGGGGCCCTGGCCCCTGGGGGTATGAGCTGGCCCTTTCTAACTGGGCGTCACGGGGACCTCTGTGGGGAACAGCCCCTGGTGGTGGTGCTGGGTCAGAACCACCGCCTCTGAGTAAACAGGGCCCACTCTGAGCCCAGGACAGCGAAGACAGGCTCCTGGCTGGCCTGGGCTCTGCCCTGCGGCCCACAGGAGCTTCACGAGGAGCCCAGCATCCAGCCACCCTGCTGAGCCTGTCTGCTCCTCACTACACGCAGGGACCCTCACCCTCCAGCAGCAGTATGCGTGGGTGGGCTCCTGTCAGAGACGCAGTTGATGCCACCCTGCTCAGAATGCCAATCTTCTACTTCTGCTAGAGAAGCTGCTCACTCCGGTATCACTTCCTCCAGGAAGCCTTCCCTGCCCTGCAGTATCTCCCACCCCTCCACACCACTCTATCCTACAACAATCTTTTACGTGCTTTGAGCCTGGCCTTGCCTCCCTCCTCAGAAACATCCACCCACAGGAGGAGAAAGGCCCAGTTCCTTCTCAGGCTCCAAGACCCTTGTGACCCAGGGCCAGCCCCTTCCCCAGTGAATGCCCTGACCTCTGTCCTACTCGAGGGAGCGGCGCTGAGCTCCTGCTGCTCTCTGTGCACCCCTCTGCCCCTCAGCTGGGAGCTCCCTCCCCTGCCAAAAGGCCCTGCTCCTCTGGGGTCATGCGGCCCATGCCTGGCCGGCCCTGCTCACGGCCCACCCAGCAGCCTGTCCTCTTTTGGCGCTTGCCTGCAGGAGCCCACCCAATAGGACACCTGGCCTGTCCAGCGTCCCAGCCCAGAGCAGGGACAAGCCCTCTCTGGAGACTGAGCAGGAGAGGCTGGGATGCAGATGGCAGGGCACCACGGCATGGCAGAGCAGAGGCCACCACAGCCTCAGGCCCTGGAGACAGGAAATGGGGCAGGAGGGACACGCAGCAGGCCAGGGCCGGCCCCACCCAGCCGCAGGGGCCCCGGCCCCCCGCCCCTCGGAGGTCTGCTTCTGCCACTCCAGCCTGCGGATGGGCGCCGAGTCGAGCGCTGAGAGGATGGCCAGGTAGGAGTTGAAGTTGTTCAGCTTCCGTAAGTGCTGTGGGGAGGAGCGGCCACCGTGAGCACAGGCAGCTGGGCGGGCAGCAGGGCGCCCCTACGGGGAGGCTCTGGGGGGCCCTGGCTGTTACCTTCATGATCTTGATGAACTTCAGCAGCAGTCGCTCCCTGTCCTGGGCCTTCTCCTGTAACATGATTATTGACCGGACCCTGCACGGACCGAGGGGAGGCTGCTGAGTGACGAGTCTCCCCGGGTGGTCCCATCTGGTGGTGACGGGGTCTGTGTGAGCCCCGTGCCCTAGCCACGAACCCGTACAGACCAAGTGTCTGGGGCTTAGCAGGCCCTAGCAGGTGCAGACCAGGTTCCTGTGACAGAGCTCTCAGAGACAGAGACCCCTTGCCACAGAGAGACCAGAACAGGACCTCGGACTGGTTGGACTTGTATGTACGGGCCTGGGAGGACTGAGGTGGAGCCCATGTGGCAGGTGCTGATGCCCACCACCGGGCTGGGGACATCGCTGTGCGGGGATGGGCTCCTTCCGCCAGCTGTGCTGGAGGACCCTCTTGGAACTTTAGTGGCCACCAAACCAACGCCAAACCAAAAGCCAGACCTGTCTGTGCCAAGTGTGCAGCAACAACCTCACCTGGCCTCAGCCTCTGGTGGGTTCACAGGGGTCACCAGGAGGGTCACTTGGAGGAGGTGCCCCACTGTGTGGCGTCTCCTGCCCTATAATGGGAACCTTTGCTGATAACGGTCCAAGGCCACGTCTCAGAATGACTTGCGTACACCTCCCCGGCCCAGCTGGGCCTGGAGTCCTTGCGCCCTCTGCTGGGGCACTGGAGTCCCCTCCTACGGAGCCCAGAGCTCTGACAGAAAGGAACCACGGTGTGGACAGACCTCTGTCAGCCAGTCAGTGTGGGCACCAGTCCTGATGGCCATGGGGTGGTTAGAGGCTGGCAAGAACTAGGGCCAGTGCAGGACGGCATACTTCACACACACATACATGCACAGGAACACGCGCACACACCTGACTGCCACTGTGGCAGACAGCAAACCTGGCACTGCTCCCCACCAGCCTCTGATGCCTCTTCCATCAGCCTCCAGAGGCCCTGCACCGCCTGCCCTCCCCGACCTACACTCCATGAATGCCCCAAAGCCTCCAGGGGGCTGGGAGGAAAGCAGCGCCTCCTCCTGGCCACTCGAGCTCTCTGCAAAGGAACCAGGCAGCCCTCCGTACCAGTAGGACATGTTGTTGAAGTGCTCCGTGAACTGGGTCAGGTTGGGGCTCTTCTCCTCGTTCTGCTCTTTGGCCCAAAGCAAAACTTCAGGGATCTGCAAAGGAAGCGGGCTGAATCAGACCCTCTGGCTCATCAGTGACGCAGGCCAGGAGGCGGCGGCTCCCAGGGCAGGGCAGGGCAGGGCAGGGCAGGGCAGGGCCGCCCAGCCCCTCACCGGTGCCCGACATCAGCATCCTACACCCGTGCCCCACGCCCGCACGGTACCTCTATCTTATAGAAGAGTTCTGCGTCCAGCAGTGTCAGCTGCTCGGCCAGCTCGTGGCTGGGAAAGTCATGCAGGGTCCCCGGCCTGTGAGACAGAGGCATCGGACGAGCCGTCAGGGCAGGCCATGGCGCTGTGGGGCTGTGCCTACATGGCAGGCTGGGGCCACGCTGTCCCCTGGCCCTGTGCTGTGTCTGCCTTCTTCCGTCTCTCTGGTGTGTCCGTGGCTTCCAGAATGAGGACACTCCGCCCCAGGGAGTTCACAGGTGGAGACTGGAGTGTCCTGCCCACAGCTGACCTTACCTCCTGGTAGGGACGGACGGCGCCATGGAAACAAGGCTGACTGCACACAGTGAGGGCTGGCCAGACAAGGCTACTGTGGGAACTCACGCTCACCTTTGGGCTGGGACAGAAGGAGCCACCAACAGCCTGAACCTTCGTGCAGGTTCTTGGGCATGTGCAGGGTGGCATGGGGGCTGGGCTAGGGTTAGCAGCCGCCACACCAAGGCTGAGAGAGAAGCCTGAGCTGCTGGCTGCAGGATCACATCCGTCTCCTGCCCCACTAAGCCCCTGTGGGCCCAGCCAGTCTCCTTCCTGGTAACGAAGTGTCACGCGCGCACACGCGCGTACACACACACACACACACACACACACTGCTCTAGGGAAGAGGCCCGGGCTCTTGCTGTCCCTGAGGAACCTTGTTACGTGCCTGGTAGAACCAGGCCTGAGGCTATGGGGCTGGAGAGGCACGAAGGGTATACTGAGGAGGCAGTGGTGAAGGGGCCACTGGCACGCTCTAGCTGGAGTGGGGGCCTGGAGGCTGGCTCCTCACCTGGCTGCCACCCCTCTGGCTGCCAGTGGCTGGTCGGAGTTGGCACACCTGAGCAGCTTCTTCTGGTCCACCTTGTCCAGGATGTTCTTGCGGAGCACGCGGGCCAGGCTGAGCTCTCCGCTGCACACCAGGCGGAAGACCAGCTCCATCAGCAGCTTCAGGATCTCCTCCGTCAACTCCACCAGGCTAAGGGGCCAAAGGGCACGAGGTGAGAGGCAGAAACACAGGACCCAGGAGAGCCCGGAGTCCCCCTCCAGATGCCCACAGGCCACGGGGCTGCGCCTGCAAGCTGGAGACCTCGTGTGGGAAGCGCACGAGAGACCCCTGAGGGCTGCCCACGCCCTCCAAAGTACCACAAATGGTCTCACTGGCAGCTGACACCTGCCATTCACTCAGCATGCGTTTGTGGGCTCCAGACAAGCAGCAGAGACAGAGTCCCACCAGTCCTGGCCTGGAGGGGCTCCTGGTCTCACCTGGCAATGCAACACCAGGAAGACCTCTTGTGCCTGGACTAGACACCAGAGGATGCTGCTGCTCAGCACTGTCCCTCCCGCTGGCTCCCAACTATGTGGCACCACAGGGAGGGTCACCTCCCGCGGCAGGAGGTAAGGCCCTCAAGGGGAGCGTCCATCCACTCTGCTTGCCCTTGGCCCCACACCTAGCAGAGGGACCTGCTCGCCAGTTGCTAAGTGTCGCTAAGGGAAGAGCAAGCACCCTGTGGGCAATTCTGACAGCTGACCAAGGGGAGGCTGGAGAGGGCAGGGCTGGCTGCACCCCCAGCCCAGTCCAGCCCCACTTGGCATCCACAGCTGCCCACTGTGTGGGGTGACACCCCACCCTGGTCTACAGATGAGGCATGTCACACGGGATTGTGACAGAGCAGCAGGCAAGCCCAGGCTGGTGGCCTGCGCTCCGTGGGCCTCAGTGCCAGCCTGCGTAGGACCGAGGGCGACTCACCAGAGCTCGTCCACCACCCGCACCAGCACGAAGAAGGTATTCTTGCTGACACGCTTCTTGAATGTGTCGGCGAATGGAGAGAACTTCTCGTACCTGGAGCAGGGGTTCAAGAAGGGCCTGTGTGCTGAGGGACGGCTGGGGGGCCCTGCAGCTCCGTGGAGCATCGAGGACGCGCCAGCAGCCTTGTCAGGGAGGGTCCGCAGCTGGGAACAAAGGCTGCACACATGTGGTGTGCAGGACTGCAAACCAGGTGTGTGCCCGGGCCTGCCCCCGACTGTTCCCAACTGTCCCCCTCTCCACCTGCAGACCACCAGGCTGGCCTTGCCGTAGCTCCCCGCTGAGCTTCCTGGGAGACTGACAGACTGAAAGCTGCCCCGTGAGTCGCGGGTGGAGAAAGGTGGTCCGAGCCCACTCGAAAGCCCCCACAGCCCAGGTGGTATCTCAGCAGGCTTCCTCTCTCTTCCTAGGGTTCTACCCTGAGGCCCGCTGGGCCAGTGGGGCCTCGGCCCTTCCCCCTGGGAGCTCCTGCCTTTGCTCCAGACCCCTGCCCACCCTGGAGGACACGTCCCACCTCTGCTCCTGGCTGTCTCGCTGCAGCCCTGACTCCCTCGCCCCCATGCCAGGTTCTGCCGTGGAGCTGTGGCTTCTCACGGTGCCCACCGTCTTGCCTCTCCAGACCCTCCCTGGGTTTGTCCTGCTCGCTGTCTAGTGAGTCATGAGCGTCTGTGACAGAGGGCACCCCGGGGACAGTCTGCTCGGCCTGCGGCAGAGGCCCACAGCTAGCTGTGCTGGCACCTCGGGGCCGTGGCATCTGCAGAAATGTGCTGCAAGTGGCCAAGCAGGCAGAGGCGAGGGGCTGCGCGCTGCAGGGGTGTGTGTGCTCGGGGGTGCTCCCGCCAGACAGCCTCACGGGTACTTCTGGGTCTGTTTCCTCAGTTACACGACAGGAAACTACGTAAGACGTGGGAACTGCACACAGACGCACACAGAGTGGTCTTCCGGCTGAGGGCGGTCACCGTGCGTGCGTGACAGTGAGAGGCGGGATGGGACCTGAAATGCCGCACATGGGTACAGCCACGTCTGTGCTGACAGGCCAGGGACTCTAAGGCTCCGGGCAAGGGGAGGGGGGGCGGTCCGTCCTTCAGGCCTTCCTGCCCGCATGAGGGCAGCTGCCAGCAGGTGGCAGTCAAGGGCTATGACCCAGGAGGTGGCAGGGAGGAGGGTGGGCAGCTGTGGACTCCAGGCAGACAATGACAGCGGGTCCTTGGCCACCCCTGCAGGAGCTGCCAACTACCAGGGAAGAGCAGCTCTAATCCGGCAGCAGGAGCTGACCAGTGCGGAGAGCGGCAGGTGCTGCTCTGCAGCAGATGGGTGTCCCCTGCCATCTCTGAGCCCCTTGGCCCCTGCCACCCTGAAGCCCTGCACACTCGGTAGCCGTCCTGCCCAGTCCGGGACTTGGCAAGGAGCTGGCCCTCTGCCTCTCCTCCACCCTCTCCGGGTGTGCTCACACTCAGCTATTCGCCATTGCCACTGGGCAGCACCTGGGCTGTTCCAGGCGCCTCACCTGGTTTCACGCAACCCTTACTGGGGATGAGGTCCAAGAGGTGGCCTTGCCCGAGGTCGTGATGGCTAGGACCAGGGCTGGGAGCCGCGGGGGAAGGTACCTGTACCGCAGCTTCTTGATGAGCTCCTCAGGGCTCAGGAAGGTCCTGTAGGTGGTCAGGAAGGCCTCGCAGTACAGCACCAAGTCTGGGGGTGACAGGAGCCCCTCAGTAGCTGGCAGTATCTAGGGCCTCTGCCCCCCAGACCAGAACCAGGAGATGTGAGCGCACCCTCCCCTGCACGGTCACCGAGGACGGTGCTCCCTGGGAGGTGCGGTGGGGTCTGAGGCCACGCCTGGGCCCAGCAGGAGCGAGAAAGCCAGCTGATGGCGACACCTGCCCGGCAGGGTATGGACTGCGGCACGCTCACTCTGGGAGGCGCCCACAGGGGTGGGCACTGGGGAGGTCCGTCTGTCCTAAGGGCTTCAGCAGCCATCCAGGTCACGGCTTGGAATGACAGCTCTTAGCCAACAGAGTGACCCAACAGGGTGTTCTGGGGATTCAGGCCCAGTCCCTGCTCCTCTGGCCCTCCCAGACACTGTGTGCCAGCTGGGTGGGGACAACCGGGGCCCAGGACGTCCGCTGCTATAAATCAAAGCCCCGGGCAGGACTGCAGGGAAGCGCGACTGACATCCACTTGGCATGAGCTGACTGAGTCCGAGCTAGGCACAGGCATCCTGACAGTCCCGGTTTTCGCCCCCTTAGAGCTCTGCAAAGTGGCTGAAACAGACACGTGCCTTTACAACAGCCTCCCCGAGAGATGGCTGGGCGGCCAATGAGCTGGGCCCGCTGACCCACAGCGTAGGACTGGGCGATGCACCAGGGGCCGCCGCTCCCTCGTAACACGGCTGCTGGAACTCGCACCTGCTTGCTCTAAACTCCCCAATCAGAGCTCCCCAAGGGAAGTGTCTGGATAAAGCCCTGGCACCCAAGAGGGCCTTGGCCCATGGGTCCCTCTCCTCTGCCCTCTACATGCTCCCTGACCTCTGTGTGGGTGAGCCTTCGGGCATGCCGAGCACCCCTCACCCAGGGCCTGTAAACAATAAACCCTTTACTTCCCCCCACCCCCCAGCCTCTCCCAATCACTGGAGGGCTGCTCTCCATCTTAAAGAATGTAAATTACACAAGAACGAACTCTCCCCAGGAGTTTCCTAATGGAATATATGACTTACTCCAACCCAGCAGTGTGGAATGACACCATGGCTCACCTATCAGGCAAGGTACAGAGAGCTGCCCCGTGTGCTGCCTTAATGCCATCCAACACACAGCGTGGCCCCTGGAGGCAGTTGTGGGCCCTCAGTGTGCCAAGCCCTGCCCTGGACTGTCCTGCCCGGGCACCGTCACTCCCCCGTACTGCCGTGATGCTGCGTGGGCCTGGCTGGGGACAGGCAGCGAACTCTCCTACCTTTTCTGTCTGTTTCAGTGGCGTGGACCAGTAAGATATCTCCAGACCCTCCGCGGACATCTGGGCCATCATCACCCTGTGACGAAACAGCAAAGGGGGCCATGAGGCCGGTGCGGCTCCTAAACTCGGTTTGGGAAGTAACAGGCAGGAATGAGGTAACACACTTGTTTCTGGCACGGCTACAGAGAACCCAGGCCCTCTGCCCTCTTCTCTCCTGACCCGGGAGCAGCGTGGCTGTGCTGCAGCCGCAGGTGGGCCTCTCCTGTGCTCGGCTGACAGGCACAGACCAGAATGGGCATGGGAGCTGGGGGCCTGTGGCGGTCCAGGCCCCGTGGTCACTAGGTCACAGTGCTTTTTCGGGGACACAATTGTGGAGAGGACACAGCGTCATTCCACTTTCCCCTGCACACCACCCAGAGGTCTTTACGCAGAGGTGGGACCTGTGGGAGTGGGCAGGGTGCCACCAGCCTCTCCTAGGGTGCCTGTGGAGGTGGCAAGGCTAGTTCCAGGCATGTCCATGTCCCCAAGCTGCAGCAAGTTGCACGGAATCTAAACCCACTTCCCAGGTGAGAGCAGATGCCACTTGCTGAGACGTCCCAGGTGCCTTCACGGAGCCCTTCATTAGAAGAGTGTGACTGGGAACCAGCAGTTAGCGTAATGGCTATGTCGCTGGACTCCCACGTAGTCGACCGCGGTTCACGTCCC